AATACACAGTCACTACACTTCACAGTAAATCACGTAAAGTGTTTGAGATATCTTGGCAACATGATAAGGTGCTTTGTCAAATACAAACATTATTATTATATTTGACATGGTTCTCTTGTGCAACAGTCAGTGACCTTAATGTGTGCATAATCATTCAGAGAGATAGGAATTACTGTAGATCTATATTTTAAGGGGAAGTGTTCTCTAAACACTCAAAAGAAATGTTGTCATTTTCTGGAATTAAATTGCCCAATTATATAACATTATATAACGCTTTGATATAAATATGTTTAAATATTCATGTTCTCATAGAGTTAACAGCTAAATAGAAATTCCTTTATAGATCTATATCTTTTCTGGGGATCTATTTATCAAATAAATACCGAAGTCCATTGACTCCATGGGGTTCCTTTCTGGGTTTATCATTTATTCAATGCCTCCTTTGTTCTGCAAAACAAAAAGACATGTTGTTTGTGTTCTAGCGCTGCAGATTTTGCATTTGCTTTACATTTTCATCAGAATTGTAGCATCTCATTGAGTGCACAAGGTAAAATGTTAATTTGCTATCTGGTGTTTATTTGCACATGTCCTGTTTCCAGCATTTTCCATTCTGTGTTCATCTGGCCTTCAATCCAGAATATTGTTTTCTGCCTGGTATAAATGTTTTCTGCAAACCTCCTGCTGATTTCAGCTGAAATTCATAAATAACTGGATGAGTAAAGCATGTAATGTAACATGAACTGACTGAGGATGACCCTTATTATAACCCCAGGGCAGAATTGCATTTAGTTTAGTTCTTTTGTATCTGAACCAAATGGACTGTGTTTGGAGAGTTAATACAACAACAACTTGCATTTATATAGTGCTCTTCCGTGGTGTAGCGTCCCAGGAGTGCTTGACAGTGGCGGAGTCTGGCGCCAAACCCTGGGGAGAGGGAGGAGGGAGGTGACTGTAAGCACAATCAAAAAAGAGAGTCTTTGGGCGGGATTTGAAAGTGGGGTGAGAGGGGCCGAGGCGGACAGATTGAGGGAGAGAGTTCTGGAGTTTCGGGGTGTAGTGGCTGAAGGCACGGCCACCAATGGTGGAGCGGAGGGGACGAGGGACAAACAGGAGGCCGGAGGCAGACAAGCAGAGGTTGCGGGTAGTGGTGTGGGGGTTAAGCAGATCGGATAGGTAGCGAGGTGCGAGGGCACGAAGGGATTTGAAATCGATCAGTTCAGTAATTGGGAGCCAGTGAAATCTGGCAAGAACTGGTGTGATGGGGCTACAATTTTGTGTGGGTGAGTATCTGGGCAGCGGAGTTTTGAATTGATTACATTTTGTGTATGGTGGAGCTGGTGAGAGCAGTGAGGAGGGCATTGGAATAGTCCACTGGACACTTGCAATGTACATTTAAGAAAGAACTTGCATTTTTATAGAATTGTACATGTCAAAGCCTTAAAGTGTGTTACAGTAATTGACAACTAATAACTAGTGTTTGCAGCCATTTGGGGCTTTACGTTCTTCTTAGTTTTAGCCCATAAGACCATTAAAAAAAATAAGATCACAAGAGAGGTTTGGAAAAAGAAGGCCCTACAACCCGTTTAATCTCATTCCTTCCAGAATACCCACCCTCCATCATAGTTTTCCATCACAGTTATCAAGCTATTTCTTAAACTAGTCCAGTGTCATGACCTCCACAATCCTTGATAGTAATCTGTTCCAGTCGTTAATTCCTTTCTAGGTAAAGAAATATCTCTGGATGCCTGTCATAAAAGTTTCCTTTGCAACCGTAATCATGTTCTGCTCTCTATGAGCATCTGAAAGTATTGTTTTGGGAATAGTTACTCAGTCCCATTTAATTTAATTCTCAAATTCAGTCTTAATTTGGAAGCTGACTGTTTAAAAAATGTTTTTTTACATGATATGTACAGCAGCGTCCCTTAAATAATTATGAGGTGAATGATCAATTTTATCTAGATTATTATTGTCCAGGGCTCCCTAGGATCTTTAATGTTTACCTGAGAACTTAATGTCATTGATGTATGACACCTCCAAAAATATACTTGTCTATCAACCTAGACGGTGAGTTCAAGCGCCAGCCTTTTGACCCTGGGTCAAGAGTGCTACCAACTGTGTCAACCTGACACATAAAGAACTTTCAGGCAGTGAGCCTAATTTACTAATGTTAAACATTTTAATGCTGGTTAATTCTATTTCTATTTTAATTCTATTTTACCCAAGTATCTGAATTTTTTTTTAGCTGAGAATGAGATTCGGGTATCACACTGTGAATCATTTTTCAAATTTGATGATTTTAATACAATCAATCGGTATTTTTCCCTTCCTTGAATATCTAAACTTTTGCCTTTTGCTAAAAATAATCTCAGCAGAAAATAATGTTTTTAATGCTTTTAAATGGTTCAGATGTAGAAAATAATGCAGGGCAAGATGTTTTCAGCTCTGGTCTAGAAGCTAGAGTGCATAATAAAAAACATGCTCATACTGTAAATCCAGTCTCTTTAAACTCAGTTACAAATTACTTCAAAGCAGTGCAATTGACCTCGCAGAAGTGGCCCTTACTTTCTATAGTCTATGATCAAAGGGGGCATTAAATAGTCACTTTAATTCACGACACCTGAACAAACTAAAATACCCAGATTGGTATGTATGTGTCTCCATCTGGAAGCAGAGTATAATGAGACTGATTCTCTGTGTATTTTAGTACAATCCTGGCACACAAGAGAATTCTGAAGTGCTGTAAAGTGTCAATCTTAGCAATGAAGCAGCATGTCCAACATTCAATCTCATAGTGTTGTTTTACAGCACTCTCCATCTTCCAGTACCTCTTCACAATTACGATTACAGTAAAAGGTTTGTGTTATCTGGTTTAATTAACTACTTTGCTCCCCCTGCCACAGATACGTAAAACATATTTTAAAACATATTGTTCTCTCTTGAGGTTCCTGACTGTAACATTGAAAGGTAGCTTCTACGTCCCTAACCTCTGGAATTCTCTTTCATCATTGAAACCCCTCTCTATCTGCCTTTTAAATACTACCGAAAAACACCCCCCTTTGACTGCACCAACTAAACCTAACCCGTGTGCCCCCTCTCTCTTACTTGGCAACCAATAGTATCTTTGTGAAGCGCTTATCCTACATGAGTGCTATATAAATGCGAGTTGTTGTCGGTGGTGGTGTTGTAGTTGAAAGTAGTTTAAAGTGGACCAAATTGAGTTACTTTCAGATTTTCTGATAAACAATAAATTCCTTGGAAAAGAATGAGCTGGACCCAATGCAAGGAAGGAGATTTGTGAAGCAATGGTGGATATCTTGAGGGAGTTGATAAGCTGGGGAGTTTTTGATGGACTATTGAACTAATTAACAAATTAATTGATTATTTAATTGCATTAATTGCAACTTTCCATTTGTGAAATATGTGGCCTGTGACCCACTAAATTCCAAAGTCTAAAGAAAGACACCAAGTAAGTGGTTGATTATTTTGCTCACAGGCCAAATATTGCACAAACTTTCCTCATCCCTGGTATTTGCTGATTGCGAATATTGTAATATTGGATGCTCCAACCCAGATATTGCAAATAATGCATCAAATCCAGGTTGTGAATGTTACAAAATAGACCCTGCGGTCAACAGTGTAAGATTTTTTTTGATGAGGTCCTACTTTCTACCTGTGATCCTGATTGAGAATAGCTGTTCACTAGTCATTTTTATCTACCTTTGTTTTCACCTTCATTTTGCTAATTCCTAAAGAATCCTTCACAGATGACAGTTTAGCTAAATGTTCCAAAGTACAGTAGTTGTCTGTTGACTTAACACTAGATATGAACTATTTGCCCAGCTGATAGGAATAGTAAGAATTGTTTTAGAAAGCACTGATTTAAATTGATTTAAATTGATCCATAATTTGCCAACAGTACAATAATTCGTCTTCAAAATTCTGCAAACACTTTGCAAGTCTGTCATTAATGACAAAAGTCTATACATCCACTAATCCAGCCTGAGCTTCTCTTCCCTCCGGCAGCCAGCACCTGTTGAAATTTGTGTGTTTTTTCTTAAGCTTGAGAACAAAAACTTGAGTTCTGTTCCAGGTGTCAGTGGAAAAGTACTTTGAGTGGAATTTATAGAGGGAAAAATATATGCCGTGCAATATCTAACCGATTTTCCGTTAATAGATACTGAAAATCATACTTACAGAAGGTTTAAACAGCAGTCATTGGTGTTCATTCAGATTCACTTTAGAGCTGAGCTGTGCCTGGTAATGCAATATCAAAATCATGCCGCTCCTATGTTATGGTCTCAGTCGTCCGGTTCCTGAGCCAGATACTCCAAGGCATCGCTGATGATAGACCAACTAGCCTTGTTCGAAGACAACACTTGAAGAGGCAGACTAATCACTCAGGGCAGGGTTTCTTTCCAATCTGTTCCTGTTAATCTTGCAAGCCAAAGCCTTAATGGTTAGGGTGGCTCTGAATGGACAAGCAGGAAGCAATTTGATCAGCAAAGTAATAATAATAATAATCCTTGCATTTGATTTAGTGCCTTATCACTTCTATATACTGTAAAGTGAATTGACTGAATATTTTGTGGGCAAAACACGGCAGGCAATTGTGCACAGCAGTGTAGAAAATAATCACTTGATTTATTCACAGGAAGAAATAGCATTGATGAAATGCATTATAACACTCATTTTCTAATACCATTTTCCTTTGTTTCTGCAGACTTTGTAGCTTTTAAACCTTGTTTGAGCTTTAATTCCACACTTAGCGGTGGTCAACTCAAAAATTGATTGGGAAATAACATCGGACTGAAAAATGAACCAAAAATATTTTTTGCCAATGTTTCAATTTTCTACCCAGCGAATTTCAGCTGGCAAAATTCCCGATACGTGGGGAAACTCAACAATTAAAGTTTTGCGATGTGAGAATATTCTTTAGGGAAACTTTCTTTGTAATGGATTTAACATTAAGCATTTAATATCAATTTCCCATTGTGTTACAGACTGACGGAAGCGCACAGAGCAGCTGTAAAAGTCATTAGACGTATGCAGTATTTTGTAGCCAGGAGAAAATTTCAGGTGAGATAGTAAAATCAGCATCCAGATACTGCTCTTGATTAAACTCCAGTGTACAACATGGCTGCAGTTAGGTCACTTCAGAACTTAGCAAGATGGGAAATAGGGCTTTAGAGTTCAAATTTTACTCCTCTGTTAATTCACTGACGATGAAAAGCATTTGATATATCTATGTTACTGGCTGCCACCTTCACTTGAGAAAAAGATTATGAAGAAGAGATGGGATAATACCACACACATTTTTTGACTTGCGCGTGAAGCATCTGAAGCTGTAGTTACACAAGCTTGCTCCGATTTTACGTGACAACAGATTGACATAATTTGTTATTACTTAAGGATTAAGGATACTTATTAAGGATTATTTCAGTTTTCGGATTCCACTACATTATTCAGGCAAATAGATTGAGTCAATTTCAATGGGAGGTGGGGAGGAAGGAGAGGAGTACCTCTCTCCCTGGAGGGACACTTACCTGAGAATATTATGTGCAGGTTGATGAGTGTCAAGGTTTGGCAGGGTAATGCCTCAGGAGGATAGATAGGGGAACGTCTTGGAGCAACAATGCCAGATACTGAGTTAATGGGAAGAGAGGCATGAGAGAGGTAGTGTAGGAACAGTCAAATTGCTTTTGAGCCAATGGGACATCATTTTAACTTTTCAACACTTGACAACCATTACTCAATTATGGTGCATAAATATTATTTTTCAGCTAAAATCACTGACCTTTTTTTNGTGTGTTCGTTTCACAGCAAGCTCGAAAGCCTTACGATGTGCGAGATGTTATCGAGCAATACTCTCAAGGTCACCTGAACATGATGGTACGGATCAAGGAACTGCAAAGAAGGTAAAGTGCTGCAAAGCTCTTCTGATGCATTTGCATTGCGTTACACTCAATAGCATAACAATGGTGAGAAAATATGGCAAATTTGCCTTCGCAAGTCAACAAATAAGTTTGAGTAATGAGTGCTTGAAAAAACAGAAACTTGAGCAAACTGGGCTGAGATCTATGGCAGTATAATAAGACAACATATAATAAGGCAACGTAAGAGTACTTGTTAGCTCTGCACAGATACAAAGCAACTTTACGTTTCTTTCATAGATTGGACAATTCCCTAGGAAAGCCTGCGCTATTTCTTTCAGGTAAGGAATCCAGTCTTACTACTGTGGTTGCTTGTGATTAATAAAATTATCTTTCAATGGACCTCACAGATTTGTGCAGCAGTTTGGGACATATATATGTCCAAGGCTGGAAACAATACTTTTAACCAATATTGTCAATTGAGGAAGAAATCTGTGTTTTAAAAAAGGTAAAGAAAGAGGGAAGAATACTCTTAGCCTTTGCTAATGATACCCATCAGTTTCCAAAAATATAGTGTTGTGTAAGTAATTTAACAGCTGCAATGATGTTTTTCACAAAGATATAGACAATGTACAGTATACACTTATGCACTTTGAATCTATCTGCCATGCCTTCCCCTTGCAAGGCCTGCAGCGGGGCTGAACACAATTCCCTACCAACTGATAATAGCCATAAAAATGCCTCTTCAAGGTGATGCCTGAAACATCTCTTTATTGCAGGTTGCTTGAGAACGTCCTGAAATACACTGTAGCAATATTTGCCAAAACGAACATCCTCTTAAGCCCTTGAATGAAATTTTTTGTTCAAAACTCTCCAAATACGTCTATAAAGTAAAAGAGGCATTCAGCCGACTCGCAATTGCAGCAGAGTTAACACTTCAATCTTTATTACTCGCTGTACTTCTCGAAGCTATTGGTTTCCCAATTCTTCTGACTGATCACACAGTACTTTTTACCATCAGAGGACTGTGTAAGCTGTAAGCATTTTACCAAAATAACTTTTTATTTAAAAAAATGCTTGTTTGTCCTGAAACAATTTCAAATGAAGAACTGAAAAGAATATCACTTCAGAAGTACAGTAATACTAATTTTATTTGTGGTGCTTTCAATGGGTTTGTCATGAAAGCTACGAGAAGTCTCAGGTACTATTTTAGGAGTGAAAATCAATCAGGGTTCCCATTACTGATCATAGTCCAATGATTTGTGAAGTGCGCTGGAGGTGCACCTGTCTTGACATTGAGCAAGGACAGGAGCAGACTTAATGCAACACGACCAAATAGCTTGCCAGTTCTCACTGTCAGGTACATACTTGAATGATAGCCATTTTGGTGAAGTATCCTTTGAAAGCATGCCCCAGTAGAAGGAAAAGGGAGTCTGGTGTCTTCACTCTTATGAGTATAGCATTAAATGGGTCATCATCATCTGTTTCTTTGAGTAACAGCATGTGAAATTATATGAACAATGATGCTGTAAAAACAATTTTTAAGAATAGTTCATGTTATACGACCTGCTGTAGTAGGAATTCATCCCTGTGACCATCATCAGTGAGGTTTGGGCAGGCTTTGAGCTAAATTCCGGTCCCGCACACCACTGGAAAATACTATCTGCGTTATGACAGCCAGGGCAGATTATGCCAAATATTGACACATTAAAATAATAATAACGATAATAATCCTTGCATTTTATATAGTGCCTTATCACGTCTTCGAGACGTCTCAAAGTGCTTCACAGAACATACTGTAAAGTGTATTGTGAAAATAGAAGAGCGTAATACTTTATTTCCACTTTAACTGCAGTAGCAAGATATTTTAAAACCTATATACTTTTTAAATTTAATTCCTTGACTTTTTATATAGAAAAGGGTCTAGACAAGGGTTACTACACCGTGGGAGCCAGACTGATCCGATTGGAGGATAAGGTAAGTACACAATATCTTTCCAAGGCAATTCAGACATCTTTAGATAATTCACACAATTGGTATGACTTAAGTCACTGGAAAACATTGTGAGCAAACTATTTGATCTCTTGTTGTATCATATAAGGGTATTTATTTGGCCTGACATTTCTTGGAATTCTATTCTAGCTCACTAATACTGGCTTGAAGTGCATCTTTCTATTTCCAGTCATTTCATGTCACAAACACATAATTGCTGGGTGTATTTGCTTGTGCGGGTTGAAAGCTGATTGTAAATTGATTCGATTGGGGATTTTAAGTGATTGTTACCAACTTTTCGATTCAGTCTGACCAGTTAGTCGAGTGTAGTCAAATGCTTTCTGTTTCTATCTCTCTGGATATGTAATGATTTCAATACAGACATTAAGCGCCCTTAAAATAACTCATTTTTATTAAAATGACGAATGCCCCTATTTACTCCCCCTCCCCAATAATTAGGTTAATGCTTGAATATTGTCATTAAGCTCTCTTTAAATCAGCATAAAGATGATAAATGTTCCTCATGTCTGGATAATGTAATATGCACAAGCATCTTTATTAGACAACCTGAACAAACCATTAAGAAGACATCATCTTACTTCAGACTATGTGAGGTCATCCAGTTGACCTCAAGCTCCAGCTAACTATACGTCTGCCTGTTGCCCTCGAAGAATGATTTGCACAGAGGCATGAATGACTGCACAAGTACCTCATTACTGTTGGCATTCTTATCCAAACAATGACACAACTCCTGGGCTTTTCAATTCAAACAATATATTTTCTAATGACGACAGTGGAATGGAATATGGTTTCTTTGTACTGAGTGTTATCACCAATTATACCCAGGGCAGGCATAAAATGAACTGGATACAGTTCAGAGCTTCCTCAAGTCAAAACATACAATGCCCCTTAAATTCAGACTGCATCTCTGTTTACTCCCCACCCCATTTAGATTTACACGTGAATATTATCATTAATCTCTTTTTATATCAGCATATTCCTAATGTTTGGTGAAATATATGCATAAGCATCTTTATTTGACAAACTCCATGCAGTATAATGTAATATTTATAGAAATTTCAGCATAAGAAGTGGCCATTCAGCATGAGTAAGAGAGTCCTGCACTAACTCTCTGACTCGTACTGGATCTATCTATCATTTTCCTGTTGTTCCCAGCAGAGGATTTGCCTTGTTCACTTTCCAATATAGACTTTCCAGTATAGCTCCATTGGAAATTAAAAAATGAGTGCCAGTTTTCTTTTTTCCTTCCTTTAATTTTAAGCAATGGATTCAACAGGAGCAGGCCACCCTCTGGAGCCTCACCCAAGTGACTGTTCTTCATGTGCATACCCAGTTCACAGACTATTCAACCATTCAGAACATAGCAACCAAGCCCAATCTTGTCCTTGCCTAGCAGCCACATAAGCACATTTCCAGCAGAGGTCAATAGACTGAGTGGCATTTTCATTTTCCTCCCACAGTCTATCCATATGACATGGGTGAGTGAGATTGGCCAATTACAGTTGAATTATTGACTGTTATGTGCTATGGACTCCTGTTCATTGGAATTCAACTGAGTGTGTCTCAAACTCATTTTACTTATGACCCCTGACAGCAATCTGAGTAGTCTAGACTGGACTTGGAGACAAGTCTCAAAGGTGAAAGTGCGCTGTTCCAGCACATAGCAACACCCAGTTGTACTTGAAGAAGGCAGTGCAGTTTTCTCTGTAATAGCAGATTTACTTTGGATCTTAGCTCCTGGGTCCTATATCTTGCACAAAGTGACCCAATGCTTGGTACAGATACTGCTTTGTTTTCTTGCCTCATAACCATGGGGCAAACTCCAAGGTTAAATAGAAATTGCCTCAGCTCTTTACAGAGTACTGGCAGCAAGCCCATTTTCACCTTGTTCCAATTCTTTAATACCTATAGGAAGGAGTCAGCAGTATAGCTCCTATTAAGACCTACTGTTGTGTGTATCTCACCTGAGCTGTGTTGTTATGTAAAAGGAGAGCCAGGTTAAATGCAAGCTCAAGTTTGTCACCTGTATGATTGTTGAGAGTGTCCCATTTTGGGTATAGATTGATATCCATGTTGCGAATGATATTTATCGCACACACAAACTAATAACTCTTGAGTGAGTCAGTTACGTGTTTTTGTATTGGACTCGTCTGTTGGATAATCATTATATCCAATGGCTTCTGACTAATGTGCTTCAATTATACCATACAATGCAATTTTAGATATTTTGAAATAAAAAAATAGGAACAGCTATGCTGGAAAATGAACATGATATGGTTTATTCTGATATGAGGTTGGAGAGGTTATGACTTTTTCAAAATTCTGCTTGAAAATTTTGGTGGAGTTATCAAGGAACCTTCCTTAAGTGGTACGCAGACATTGTGAAGTTCAAATTGTTATTTGCTGAAAAAATGCAACTGTGAAATACATAGTGAAGAGTAAATTGTATATCAAATTTCTATTGCATTGTGTTGTTGCACACAAGACCAGGTATTATATTTCTCTATTATGATATAATGTGTGTTCTTTTCTTTGAGTAATTTTTAATCCATTATGGTTTCAATAAATGTCCCACATGTTTGTAGCTCAGTGGTTAGAGCACTCGCCTTGCAAGAGAGAGAACTGGGTTTGATTCCAGGCAGGGCGAAACCTTGGGCAAGTTTCCTTACTCCACACGCCTGATAATAATCCTTCAAAAAAGAATTGGTCACTTCAATCCGCTTCTGTTAGTGGGACACCGCTGTGCGCAATTGGCTGCCGCGTTTTGCCCACAAATATATAGTCAATTCACTTTACAGTATATTCTGTAAAGCGCTTTGAGACGTCTAGAAGACATGAAAACCGCTATATCAAATCCAAGGATTATTATTATTATTAGTGAACTAGAAATTAAAATAATTGTTTTCCCTGCAGAGTGTATATGTGGACCAGGCTCCCAGTGAGAGCAGTTGGAGCTGTGTTGATTAAAAAACCTAAATGGATAAGTATCTGCTTGAGAATAATGTTAAATAATACAGTGATAAGTACAGACTGAGCTGAACAAATAGTTAATTGAACGCATTGACTTATGTGCTGTTGGAGCCCTAGATGGAAGGACTGTTGTCTGTAGAGGAAAGGAGGCCAGGATTGAACAATGGAGGCAATGACAGGATGTTATGAAGCATGTACTTTATTAGTGACTACTTTATTATTACTTGGAGCTGAACTGGCTCCAAGATGACATGTCTGGCAATGTAATATTGGAATCGAGCCAGGCCTCTGTGGCGATCTCGGTAGTCCGGTTCCTGAGCCCGGTGGGTACTTAATATTCCAGGGCTCCTGATGATAACACAGCCAGCCTGGTTCATCGACAGGACTTGGAGAGGCAGTCCAGTCACTGGGGGCAGAGAATCCTCCCATACAGCTCCTGTTAACCCTTCAAGCTAAACCTCTAATGAGTAGATTACCCGATCAAGTCCACCCACCCAAATCCCCCAAATTCTACTCCCCACCCCTTGTTTCGCACAATCTGCAAACCCCCCACCAAACCCTCCCCCCAGCATCCAATCCCATCAGCGCCCCCACCCGCATTGCCCTCCAAAACGTCCACTCTCTCTCAAACAAAGCCCTTGCCACCCAAAACCTCAACCTGGATGAGCAAATTGACACCCTAGGGCTCACTGAAAGCTGGCTGTTCCCCAGAGACCCCGTCCCCCTCATTGAAGGCTCCCCTCCTGCTATACATCCCACTCACTACCCCACCGCCCCAACCGTTGCGGGGGTGGGGTAGCTTTCCGGTCTGTCCATCAAAGGCTAGGCTATCTCAGATCATTTCCTTGTCTCCTTCTCCTCTGGCATCCTTCTCCCCTCCATCAAGCCCTCCACCATTCTTTTCCGCCCATGGAAAAGGCTTCCCTCCGAGGCCCTCACAAATGCCCTCCTATCCTCAGACCTCCTCTTCCTCTGGTCTTCCACCCCCAGTGATTCAGCCATCAAGCTGCTCCATGATCGCCTCAACTCCCTTGTCCCCCTTGAAATCCAGGACCGTCTCCAAACCCATTCGCTCCCCTGGTACAACAGCCATCTCTGCTCCCTAAAATCACAAAACTGGTTGCTCCAGCGCAGGTGGCAAAAAAACAGCCTCACGCTCACCGCCAGCTGTGATGCATTTGCATTTGATCCTACAAAATCCTATTCCCCATCACCCACCACCTCCTCCGTGTGCCCCCTCATGCACCCTGAATCATTATTTCAAAACCCAAGTGTGAAGAGATTATGGACTTTCTAACCTCTAAAATAGAAAACATCCGCCTGGCAGCCTCATCCTCCTGCCCTGTGTTCCCTAGCAACCCCCTCTCCATTCTGTCTCCTTCACCCACCTCACCTCCGCTCAGCTCCTATCATGGCCCTTATCCTACATTCCTTTAGCCCCATCTCTCCTTCCTCCCTCTCATCCTCCATCACCCTGATGAAACCCACCACCTGCTGCCTCAGCCCCCTCCCCACCCACCTCTGCTGATCACTCGACTCCCCCTCCTCTGCCCACTATTGGCAGACACCATTAATCAGTCCCTCTCCTCAGGATCAGTCCCACTCTCCCTCAAAACCTCCGTCGTCACCACCCCCTCCTTAAAAAAACCTACCCTTGATCCCTCCAACCTCATGCACTACTTCTCTATTTCAAATCTGCCCTTCCTGGACAAAGTTTTGGAACGCATTGTTGCCACCAACTTTGTGCACACCTCTCCCTCAACTCCCTACTCAAACCGCTCCTGTCCAGTTTCTGCCCTGCCTACAGTACAGAGACAATGCTTGTGAAAGTCACAAACGATGTCCTCTCTATCTGTGACCAGGGCTCCCACTGCCTCCTCATCCTGGACCTCTCTGTCGCGTTCAACACAGTTGATCACGCCATCCTCCTCTGCCGCCTGTCCTCCATCAACCGCCTCAGGCTTTTCTTCTCATCTCCGCCCGGTCACCTGCGG